AATAATAATGTATTTGCAATAATTACATTCATTTTTCAGAAGTTTTAACTTTTAAATAATTTCTTAACTAATTTTCATTGATCTTTTTTTAGTGCTTTCATTTGAAGTTCCAATACCTGACTCTAAAGATATGAAAATCACAGAAGATATTGAAAACATCCCCATCCCAGAGGACTCTGAAGAACAGCCAACTTCAACTGAATTGGTCAATGAGCAGGATTTAAACACATATTCATCAAGAGGTATTTCACTCACAAATAGATAGAATGAGAAGAATACTTTAGACTTTCTTTAGTCTCATTTTACTAAAATCTCTTGAACTCGAGTACATTATTTTCTAAACAACCAATCTGTTTAAGAGATACAAGAAAAAATAATGAGCTAGCCAGATAAAAAGTGAGAGAATCAAAATAATATTTTCACTCTTCACAACTCAAAAAAAAGTAGTAATGGGGAATTTTGTCTATTAATACCAAATACAAATATTGGATTATAGCTTGATACATCTTCCAGGTGCAGCTGCCGAGGAGCAGATTGAGATTGAAGAAGACGACTTTCCTCTTGAGAGTTATAATTCCAGCAAGGATGCTCAGAATGAGCTGGATTCAATCTATGCCAAGCGTCCTAGAACATTTCATTTTAAGAACTCAGATGATTTCAGGTTAGACCAGGGAGTAAGGAATAGAAGGGAGATATAACTGACGCGGTTCGCCCTACCATATGATAAATTCATTTTTTAAGATGCAAAATTATCAGCAATACAAACGTATTTTTTATATTAATTAAGATTGTTTTTATTTATTATGGTAAAGTAAAAACTACATTTAAAAAATTAAAAGACGACCTTTAAAAAACTCTTTTTCAAATGGAGTACTTCGTCTGTAAAGCATGTATAATCATATGGTAGGGCGAACCGCGTCAGTTATGTCTCCCTTCTATTCCTTACTCCCTGGGTTAGACACTGTTACACGGTAAACTCTGCTTTATTTTTGAAAGTTATATATAAACTGTAAAGTATAAATAAAGCTAATAAACACTTGAAAAGTAAATGACCTTGATTGAATTAAATAACGACACATCTTTACACACAAAAATATATTTACAGATTAAACATATACAGACTATGTTGACAAACGATAAATTAGATCTAATTCTACACAACATTCGCCTCACTCGGCAAATATTTATTCCATGGACCCCCAGGGAATTTCAGGAAATTGTATTTCAGGAGATTATATTTCAGGAATTGTTATTTCAGGAAATTGTATTTCAGGAGATTATATTTCAGGAGATTGTATTTCAGGAATTGTTATTTCAGGAAATTGTATTTCAGGAGATTGTATTTCAGGAGATTGTATTTCAGGAGTTTGAATTTCAATAAAAAATTGTGGTGCCTGAGTATGGAACATTTGTGTTAAATACCCTAATCCTAATCGCTTGATCTCTATAGTCACATTGGCCACTTTTGAATTCTCTTAATTTAGATGTCCGCAATTTCTCCGTTTTCTCTGTTCTGGCTTCTGATTGGCTGGTTGTTCCCTTTATTGGATATTGAATAAAGATTTAACTAATTTGTAGAATAACAATGATTGCGATCTATGCTTAAATCGTTGATGTAGAATCCAGGATTGAAGAATTCCAAGATTAGAGAAATGAATGTTGTTTAGGTCTCCCAGAACTGGGAAGAAGAATGACCATGGCAGGAGCAGTGTCCAAAATTTTGAAAGCAGGGATATAAAGTTCCCTGGAAGGGATATAAAGCTCCCTGAAAGGGAAATAAAGAACTTTGATGTTGTTTATGATGTGAGAGAATTGGTGAAAGAGGAGAGACAAGGAAGAAGATCGAATTCTGGTGAGATCATTTTCTCAATAAATGGGAAGTCCTTCTTTTAAATAGAGGGCATATCTCTATAAATTTGAGTTATGCAGATTCATTCAGGAAGAAAATTGCCGGAATTTCTTTATTTAAAAAAAAGACGATTGCTCATTGTTAATATGATAAATGGGTAAAGGGCTAACTGTTACTATATGAACATCCAACTCTTAAAATGAAAAGTCCCAAAAAAACTGGTTTTACCTTTAAAATAAGGAATTCATGTTTAAAATAAGGAATTCATGTTTTAAATAAATCTATTCACCAAACAAACTATTCTACTATCTTCACGCTACTATCTTCAGTGCCATATTCTCAAAAATCTTACATCACAGAATTTTGGGGATTTTTTTAAATTATTGTAATTTCAAAAATGTTGACCTTGTTCCCAGGAAAAAGTTTACAATTTTAAGCGTTAAACCTTCCCTGGGACCACGTGGGTTGTCACAAAAAAAGTGCTCCAACCGTTCAGTCGTTTGGCGTTTAGTTGACACAGACAGACAAACAAACAAGCAAAATATATACAGTGAGAATCTGCAGAAAACAATAGGAAGACGACATTATAGCAATACTTATTTGATGTTGTTACAAATCAAGTCTAGTTTTACTAGACACTTATTAAATCACTAATTTAATTAAATGGTTCTGTTTACACTGCACAATTGTGGTATCTCATGTAAATTGAACTTTTTATAAGTTATAACTTGATTCTAAAAGTCGTCTTCTTATTTCAAACTTTTCTTGTTATGACTGTAAAATGTATATAGCCATTAATTTTGATATGTTACACGTCACTTTAATTTTGATATGTTACACGTCACATTAATTTTGATATGTTACACGTCATATCAATTTTGTCAATAAAAACTTATAACTCATAATCTATAATCCATAATAATTGTTTATTGTTAAAGCACTTTTAAGCAAATTTGTCAAAGAAAGATTTTTAAAAAATAATATTTTTTGTTAGGAGAAAATCTAAATTTTGGACTAAATACTCGGGGTTGTGCTGCTGATATGGCTTGTGTTCAATATGGTAAATATGCTTTAATAAATAATAAATCATATTTTCAGAAAACGCGCACAATAATTAGATATTCTATTAAATGATTTCATGATTTTAAACATTTTCTGTGCAGTTATACATATATCTATCAAGATTATGTATAAATAAAAGACCCTGCGGAAAAAAGAGAACATTTTTGAATTTTTTTATTTCGATTTTTTTTCAGCCTATAGCACCCCCCAGCCACCCATGTCAGCCAAATCTTTTTGCCATTTTGTCGGCTATACGCAACATATATACTTTTGAGCCGAACAAATAATACTCGAAAGAGGGAAATAAGGCGAATTGGCTAGGGAAACACTCTTTTCTACCGGCCATACATAGATGAGAACAACTTCTTGAAAATGTATATTTCAGTAACGAAGGTTTCCTACAACAAAATACAAATTGTTATTGACATACATGTGTATAATAATTAAATGGAAAAATCTGAAAAATTTTCTATTGTCATTATTTCAAAATTTACGAAACCTAATCTTCTAAATTAGTATTCTGATATTCTGATATTCATGAATCATGGTAGATGAATGTGGTCCTGACGGATATGTAAAAGGAAGTAGAAACCAGAAAAACTTCCATGTAGGTGGTAGAGGCATGCTTCAGGTACAGGGTGTACTACAAAACATGACCGTAGCAAGACGACTTGCATGTCGTCTTAGATTTTTGAAATAATTTGCTGTTTTTATTTGTTAACCTAATTTTAGAAGTAAAACCACAAAATACATCTAGCCTTGGTATTTCCAAAATGTGGTTTGCCCGTTTTGTGCTTTCAATATTACTGGAGATGTGAAGAATTTCATTCACATTTAAATAAAATGGTTTTATTTAGCAAAATCGAAATCTGTACGAAATTCTTAATATCTCCGCTAATAGCACAGGAAAGGCAAACAACAGTTTAAAAATGCCAGGACTAGAGAGTTTTGTAGTTGTTGTTTCAAAAATCATATATTTTAAGGTAGGTTGACAACTGAATTTAACAAATAGTTTAAAAGATCAAAGACGACTTTCAAATCAGCTTTCTACTGTCATGTTTCGTGGGACAGTTTGTATGTTAAAATTATTTACATAAAGAACAAGCTGACAACCATATATGTTCTTGTTAGTTTAGATTAAAATATATTTCCATTTAGCTGAAATACTTGTGGAGCATAATTGTATAACAATGATAAAATAATTAGTTTTCAAAGTTGAAAACATCTTATTTATTGTTAATTAATCAAATAACGAAAATGCCACTTCTAAAATAGAGGTTAACTTGAAATTATGTCTACATATGGTCTACATGTTTTAAATTTATGAAATGTGAGATTGTTTATTTTAGAAATGTATCCTGTACGAGAATGGTATTGAGGAAACAGGATTCTGTTGCAGAACTTATAATTTTTAACACAAGTCTTCTTTATTCAGTTCGGCATTCATTTCTAAACTTTGTATTCTCAATTCTAATATATAATGTAATAACAAAAAAATATATTTTTACTACTATTTTTTAAATTTTTACTATTCATTTTAAAACAGAGATCTTGAATACTATTTTTTTGTTTGTTAAGCATTTTGTTTCCAATATTAAATTAACTTACAAAAATCATTTTTAAGTGATGAAGATTAGGTAGTGAGTAGGTAGAGAGTAGGTAGAGAGTAGGTGGAGAGTAGGTAGAGAGAAGGTAGAGAGTAGGTAGAGATTAGGTAGAGAGTAGGTAGTGAGAAGGTAGAGAGTAGGTAGAGAGTAGGTAAAGAGTAGGTAGAGATTAGGTAGTGAGTAGGTAGAGAGTAGGTAGAGAGTAGATAGTGAGTAGGTAGAGAGTAGGTAGAGAGTAGGTAGAGAGTAGGTAGAGAGTAAGTAGAGAGTAGGTAGAGAGTAGATAGTGAGTAGGTAGAGAGTAGAAGTAGGTGGAGAGTACGTAGAGAGTAGGTAGAAAGTAGGTAGAGAGTAGGTAAATAGATAGATAGATATATATTTCGGCTAACATTATAATAAATACATTTTACATTTTATAATTTTTTACTAAACAATTATTAGCCAGGGCTACAGCCTAGCCATTTCTTGTTGTTTTGATTGGCTGGCCCTCCAAAGTTTTATAGATACATTTTAGTTTTTAAAATTAACAAATAACGAATACATTACACAATTTACAAAGTAATTTTTAAAAAAAGGAAAAAAAAGAAGGATGGGTGAATAGCAAAGGGAAAAAGGGAAGAGAAGGAGAAACCCCAACACTAAAAAATCCAATTTTTGTAGATAATATGTTACAGAGTGGTTTACAAGATTTTCAAATTTCATGAGTAGCAGTTCCTGTTTTTACATTTAAATTCCTTATATTTAGAAGCCAGATATATTTTCATATTCGTCTTGAAACTAAGTACTGATAATGAATATTTAATATTCATTGGAACACTATTCCAAATTCTCGTGAGAAATATTTTTGGAAAAGGTTTTAAGATATTTGTTTCTTATTAATTTCAATTTAAAACTTTGTGTCCTATTAGGTTCTACAAATGAAGCAAACATTCCATTGAAAGACGAAGGAAGTTTTTCTTTTATATATTTATACATAAAAGTAGAAGCATTATGTTTGTGTATATCAGATAATTTAAGCATTCCAAGTTTATAAAACAAAGGATCTGTATGCTGTGAATATCCTTTATCTGACCAAGTCCGTATTGCTTTCTTTTGAAGTTTAAATAATTTTCCTATTTTATTGTTTGTTGATGACCCCCATGCTAAAATACCATACTCTAATNGTAGAGAGTAAGTATGGAGTAGGTAGAGAGTAAGTAGATAGTAGGTAGAACTGAAAATGTCAAAATTTCTTTGAAGACGTCTGTGCAAAATTTCTTTGCAAAAATTGTGAAATCTGCTTGCTTTCAAGATAGGCTTTCCATAGAGCTGTATAATGTTAAAAACCAATGACTGGAAGTAGGTCTAAATATAAATTTTGCCAGGTATAGGTAAAATAAGGCACTTAGGAAGTATGCCCTGAGGACTCAGGCAGTAGGTATAAATACCCAGCTTTTATCCTCAAGTTAGGGGCATGGGTTAGTTATAGAAAAGCCAAAAATAATTGAGCTTCCTGGATCAAATACTTTTTAAACTAAAGTTTTCTCCTTGCATTTTCTAGAGAATTTTTATTTTATAAAGTCAGAAGTTCGAGAAAAAAATTATTATTTATCTTTATATTTATTTATTACCCAAGTTACAGGGTTAATCTAGGGTTAAACTTACAAAATGCAATCAATATATTTCCACTGATATTTCTCACGATATTGCAAAATGTCACCGAACTATAGGGAGGGGGGGGGGAGGTTGCGAAAACAAGTGTTGAAAATGTTATAATGTTAAAATACATAGCTTCATACCGTCATTCTTCCGAGTTCCCCAATCAAAATTTAAATATAATCGATGTATCCATATGTCTTTGTAACCTGACCTGAATCATAGTTTAAGATATTGAAGGTCTCCGACATCAGCTTGCAAAGATAAAAGTACTATAAACTTGTCATCTATATCTATATATATATATACTTTCCTTGACTGTTTGTCTGTCTGTTTGTATCCAATAAACGTCATAACGGCTAAACTCATCGGGCCCAAATTTTGTGTGGGACTTCACATATTTTTGTGTTACATGTAATGCATACAAAGAGAAAATGTTCACAATTAAAATAGAAGGTGGGCTCGAAGTGCCCTAAACGCCTTGTCTGTTCTGGATAGTTAGAATTATAAAAAGTTGTCTCTAAAAACTAGTAGACAAAATAATTATAATATAATAACCTGCTTTATATGAGATAGCCTACTTATTCTTTAATGCACTTAATGTTCGCTGTAAGGTTTGTTGTTAAGATTAAGTATTCTTTTATTTCCCTGACGGAAAAAAATGCTCTGATATTCTTTTTTGTCGTTCTCTACGAGACTGAAAGAAAAATTGCGATTTTTTCTCAAATTTGTTCGAACATTCACACCAAGATAATTTTTTCAGAAATTTCTTTTTTTCTATAAAATTTGATTACATTCTATAATCTTATCATAAATAGAAACCAGCTGTACCTTGAGTTATATAAGGCTACTGCATTCAACTCAATTTTGTTTTAACTACGTAAGTACGTAACTGCATTCAAAAAGGTTTAGAATAAATATTCATTATTCCTGACCTTATCTTAATTCATACCTTCCACATCCTTTCCTCTTCCTTTATTCTTACCTTCCCTCTCCCTTTGTTCTTACCTTCCCTCTTCCTTTATTCTTACCTTCCCTCTTCCTTTATTCTTACCTTTCCTCTCCCTTTATTCTTCCCTTCCCTCTCCCTTTATTCTAACCTTCTCTATCCCTTTATTTTTACCTCTCCTCTTCCTTTATTCTTACCTTCCCTCTTCCTTTATTCTTACCTTCCCTCTCAATTTGTTCTTACCTTCCCTCTTCCTTTATTCTTACCTTCGTCTCCCTTTGTTCTTACCTTCTCTCTTCCTTTATTCTTACCTTCCCTCTCCCTTTATTCTAACCTTCTCTATCCCTTTATTTTTACCTCTCCTCTTCCTTTATTCTTACCTCCCTCTTCCTTTGTTCTAACCTTCTTCTTCCTTTATTCTTACCTTCCCTCTTCCTGTATTCTAACCTTCCTCTTTCTTTATTCTTACCTTTCCTCTTCTTTTATTCTTTCTTTCTTCTCCGCTTCTTCCCCGGCCCCCTCACATTATTTCCCCGTTGATCATTATTTTCCTCTTTTCCCTTTTCTCATAATTTCTCTTCCCCTCCGCCCAACGTTTTCCTTTCTGCATCCCCCCTCTCATTAGGGCGAGTAATTTAGTGAATGATTGATTTATTGACTGACGTGTATAAGTCTATTTCTGTCTATGGAGTGTAAGTACAGTTATAAAGCTGTGTGATTACAGATTTCAGTTCCATTTCAACCGTGAGAGAGGAAAGACCAATTTTAACGGTTCAGTGATATAGGAAATTTCTCAGATTTGAAGTGTACATTTTTAAATGCAGGATTAGAAAATACAAGGAAAACTGTAATATTCACGTAAAATTCAAGTTTTTAAGAACTTTACAATACGTTTTTTTGCCCACTTTTACCACCCTCTTTTTTGAAACGATCACTATTGAAATGGATAAATAATGATGTATTATTCAGTATGAATTATTTTTTGTAATGCAAAGGCATGGGGGTGTGCACAGGACATGTTTGTGCATCTAGGGGAAGCATAGCCCTTCTTTACAGTTCTTAAAACCTAGCCAGAGGCTATAACATTTACCAAACTATCAAAAATGATAGTTTGGGCTTATTTGGCTAGTATGACGCCTCCTACATTAACCCTATATAGGCTGCATTTCTTTTTAAAAAACCTTGCTGCGTACGTAGGCGGTCAAATATAATTAATAATAAATATATTTATTATGATAAATATGATAAAATACCGGGCTGTGTTTATAAAACAAGAATATTTCAGAACCTTTTAAAGCTCTATATTTGGCAATTCTAAATACCCTTGAAATGGGTAAACGCTATGTCGCATTTCTAAATTTGTCAAAAACTAAAACTTTTGTTTTAATATTTTTCCGACATACTTTTGATTTTTTTTTAAAGTTAAACGTCTGTTTTTTTCCCTTAAACAATTTATTTAAAAACATGCCTTTTCTGTTTTATCAACGAGTGGGAGGGGGAACCTATACAATACCTTCCCCTCCCCCTAACCTAACCAAAGACCTGAAGCTTTTTAGGGTTACTCCACCTGCTATTTGGTGCCCTTCATTGTCTTGTCATATTCATCAATTATAATTGCAGTTTGCTTACAATGTACATGTAATTATATTTAAAACTAAAACCAAACTATTTGTTTTTGTAATATTTCAAGGATGTGAAAACCGCTAAAATTAACCTACATTATGTGAACTTATTAGTTGTTAGGCTAAAATTACGCAAAAGAGTATCCCGAAAAATGTAACAAAATGAAACTAGAAATTGTGACAATTTTGCATTTTGTATCTGTTAAAAAAAGCTTCATAATCATTACATAATATAAAAATGTATTTAAACGAGTTTTTATTAATAATTTTTTTTTGAAACTCTTATTAGAAAATCTGTTCTAGTTTCATCATTTCATCTTTTAAATATACTTAAACCACATTGCATTCAAACTTCAAAAAGATGCAACAAAGTGTGGGGGGGGGGGCCGGGGGTCTATTTTTGCACTCACTTGAATTAGAATACTAATTGGAGTAAGTGGCAAGTAGAATTCAACTCTCTTGAAGCAGATTCTAACAGAGATCAATTACTTATGTATTTTATGTAATCTATATAAAACTGACATTGGTTTATCTCAGCTTCTATGTTTATTTAATCGTTTCATTTATTTTCTTTCTGAATTTTACTACAGGGTATTACAGGGTACTACAGGGTACTACAGGGTATACTTTATGCAGCCTTTTTTTTTACACTCTCTTGATAATCTAAAGCAATTTCGACTTTCAGAGTTTAAATCGCATAAATCATGATTTTTAGATTGACATTGAAGTCTCATCCTTTGTGTAGGTGTATGCATGTAGTAAACTGAAGGTATAATTAGCCTGGTTGGTTTTTATCCAATAGATAGATCCGGCCTGAACACATTTATGCCTGGAATATTTTTAAAAACTTTGAATTGTTATTTGTACATGTTGGGTAACATTTAAAGGTACTGGAGTAATTTTAAATAACCCTTGATTTCAAAAATAAATGGCATGTCAGATACGGTACCCTGAAAAGCTTTTTCTAATAAAAGAATAAGGCTAGATTTTCAACTTTCTATTTGGTAAAAAAATGGTTTTTTTAAATCGGGTTTGTCTAAAAACGTGAGTTAGAAACGACGCCAACTTTCCCATTATTGATCAGATAAAGGTTTATAGGGTACCGTTGTGAATCAGGCATGTCCCTCTTTAAATGGAAGATCACTTGAAATTACAACGACATTCCCTTTAAGAGCTGCTGAGGAAGCCCCCTTGAAAACCTAATAAATAATAAATATTTTGTGTTTCCTAAAACTGAAATGATAACGGTACCAGCATGATAATTCAAATTTTTTAGGTTCTAGGCTTTCTAATCATAAGTTTGAAGATTAATCCCACCAGCCTTCCCCCCTAACACCCTTACCCTTCCCCCCCCCCCCCCCTTACTTTTACAGGTATAACAAGAACAGTTACAATGATATTGAAAGAAATTAATCTGTTTCTCAATGAGTGGGTCTGTAGTCTGAAAGCCTAATTTCAAGAGATCCTCCTTCCAAAGATTTTAAGTTCTACCAGGTCTTATCCCTTGACAGTACCAACACTTTTATACTTTTTCAAGCCCTGTTATACAAGTTAAACAAGATAATTACAAATTTCAATCAAAGCGAAATCATTTGTTTTTAGAAGGAGCATTTGGCAAGATTCAGATAGGGGTTTACATTACTGGTATGACTTTGTGACCTTGTAGCTCTTCTATATTTGATGTTTTGATTTAACGTACGCGTACGCGTAAACATTTTTGTTAAGCTCTTTATTTTAGATAACATAGAAGATGTCAATCTTCTTGTAACGAGATTGGTCAACAGTGTGCTATTTATTTACAACAATTTAAACATTAAGTGTTTAAACACATACATGGTACTTAAAAAGAATGAAACATAAGAAAAAGTGCAAATTTTAAATTTGAAAGTATTAACTCATTGTGTGATATACATACACATTTAAAAAGTTTGAAAACATTAATTTATTAATCTAAAAAACACGTTTCTATATCGAGTGACAGTAAAATAGAATAAAAAATAAATACCCTTAACGCTCGATAGAAATGTATTGTATTCTTACCTAACCTAACCTAACCTAACAAATATAGTCACTGATTACAAGAGCGAAGGACAGGGGGGGAGTTTTTATAATGGAGTTTCTAATTAGCATCTTAAACGGTATTTTATTTCTCACTAAATATAACAATTTTATTACGATCAAGTGTGAAACAACAATTTTTTATTAACTTTCTTAACTGTTCAATATAACCTTCTAAACACAACAATTTCTCTTCCTCAATTAACGTTTCCGCGGACTTTTCCATTTCAATTGATAGATTTTCACAAATTTTCAGAAAAAAAATTTGGTGGTTTGGTTATGCTGACGTTTTATAGGATACAAACAGACAAAACAAGCAAAATATGTTTGTATTTGTTTGTCTATTTGACAAGCTCTTCATGCTTCTTCAATATAAAACATAGTCGCCTTTAACTTGTCATGCTTCGTGGACACACTATATATTGAGCAACTATCTTTAGAAATCAAATTAATCTTCTTGATTTAATCTGAGTTGAAATTAGACTGGGTCAGATAAAAGTCAACCATATGTTCAGAAATTGATCTAAAATAAAATACTCTCCCCCCCCCCTGCCCTCTTAACATTACACACCAATCTTTTAAAAACTATTTACAAGATAAAAGATACATGCCTACGACAGTTTGCCTTATAAAAACTAAATTGTTAAACCAGCTCAACTTAGAACTTTAAAACTTTGCTGAAAACATTCCCAATTAATACACAAATACAGATCGTAAATACAGATACACAAATACAGATACACAAATACAGATACACAAATACAGATACACAAATACAGATACACAAATACATATACACAATAGCAGATACACAAATACAGATACACAAATACAGATACACAAAAACAGATGCACAAATACAGATACACAAATAAAATACACAGATAAACAAATACAGATACACAAATACAGATATAAAAATACAGATACACAAATACAAATACACAAATACATATAAACAAATACAGATCGTAAATACAGAGACACAAACACAGATACTAAACACAGATACACAAATATAGATACACAAATACAGATACACAAAAACAGATACAAAATACAGATACAAAAACACAGATAGACAAATAAGAATACACAAATACAAATACACAAAAACAGATACACAAATACAGATACACAAATACAGACACACAAATACAGATACACAAATACAGATACACAAATACACAAATACAGATATACAAGTACAGATACACAAATACAGATACACAAATATACACAAATACAGATGCACAAATACAAATACACAAATACACAAATAAACAAATACAGATACACAAATACACAAATACACAAATTTCTTTCATCCTTCATGAGACAAAGGTTCTATAATCATACATAATCTTTTTCTCTTTGTTAGGTTTCTAGTGACTGACAACATTGTACCACCCCCCCCTCATCCACACTTTGTACCCGTTCTTTTGTAATCCCTTCCCTTAAACCTCCCATATACGACATATCTGCTACAACAGCTTTCAGCTTTAGTCAGCTGATATACTGCAACACTTGTACGATAAATGAACTCATTATAATGAAGGATGTGTTCGATAATTCCTTCTTGCTTGAAAGAGAATAGAAATCTGATATATTTATTGTAACCTTCATTATCGTCTTCATTTGTATATAGTTTGATGGATCTCCCTGTAAAATATCTTGTATTAAAATAAAAGGGCCCCTAATTATACAACGGATAAAAGTATCTGTAACAGTGCATTTATTAACTGAACCATGCATGGTTTTGAAATTACTCCCCTTTGCCTGCCTTGCCCCCCCCTCCTCATACGATACATTTCTCCCAAATATTGCATTTGACTGATGAACTTTGCACTTTATGCAATTGTTTAAACTACACAAATCCCCCCCTTCCTCTTCTCTACTTCCCTTCCCCTCTCCCCCCTCCCCTTCCTCCTCTACCTTTTCCATTCCCCCTCCCCTCTCCTCCCTCCGGTCCTCTCGAGTCAAATATAACTATTGTTTTCAATAATAGAATAGTATTCTCCCATTGATTTAAGTATTAATTTCACAATTTCAATTTTGCAATTTAATACATTAAAATTTAATGATATATTTATTATTATAGTCAATAGAATGTCGTCTTTTTATATCTTAGGACTTTTTAAGCATATCCATCATCAAAAACTTGCGTTTTTAACGTAATTTGCCGTTAGAAATGCATAACTTTATTATCTTTCAGATAAACATTATCTAAAAACAGATTGCAATGAAATTGGTTAAAAACAATTTGGCTACTTAAAACCAAGGTTTTTTCTAGGCCTTGCTCACGTTACTGGCCTAAAAATCTGCATTAGACTATTACAAAACTATAATTAATGACATCTAATAAATTTTGTTTCAAAATATGTGGTATTTTTCAAATAAATGAGATGCGTATCAAAATCACATTTTTAGCTTTATTTTAGCAGGAGAGCAGCCTATCCTATAACTGATTAACCCTATTCCTGCTGGGGGGGGAGGTCAATTTGACCCCCCCCCTAAATCCCATGTTTTATGTCCAAATATGACANTCTACTATATATTTAGCTTGTATTTTCTACTATATATTTAGCTTGTATTTTCTACTATATATTTAGTTTGTATTTTCTACTATATATTTATTTTGTATTTTCTACTATATATTTAGTTTGTATTTTCTACTATATATTTAGCTAGTATTTTCTACTATATATTTATCTTGTATTTTCTAATATATATTTAGCTTGTATTTTCTACTACATATTTAGCTTGTATTTTCTAATATATATTTAGCTTGTATTTTCTACTATATATTTAGCTTGTATTTTCTACTATATATTTAGCTTGTATTTTCTACTATATATTTAGCTTGTATTTTCTACTATATATTTATCTTGTATTTTCTACTATATATTTAGCTTGTATTTTCTACTATATATTTAGCTTGTATTTTCTACTATATATTCAGCTTGTATTTTCTACTATATATTTAGCCTGTATTTTCTACTATATATTTAGCTAGTATTTTCTACTATATATTTAGCTTGTATTTTCTACTATATATTTAGCTTGTATTTTCTACTATATATTTAGCTTGTATTTTTCTAATGTATATTTAGCTTGTATTTTATACTATATATTTAGCTTGTATTTTATACTATATATTTAGCTTGTGTTTTGCTAACATACATAACGTGAGGAAAGGTGTATTGGCTAATTCGAAAAAAAACTTAATAAAACCAAAATAATGTTGACTTTTAATTTTTTATTAAAACAGAAAAGTCTGCAAAATTTAAATTTTATGATATGCTAGAAAAAATTGCGACTTAAAAAGCAACTTGTGAAAACTAAAATTGTTCGTAGATAAAAGAGGCGCGGATCAGTTATATTTGAATTTATTAAATGAACAGTATATCACATATTAAAATTAAAATTTTCTGAAATATATAACGTTATTTTCAGATACAATGAGAAAATAGAGTTTCCCAATAGATTTTTGATTTGAGGTTTTCGGAGAGTTTAAAAATGAAAGTTTTCTTTACTATCATCTTTCTTTTTGGTCTACAATCCACACAGGGACACAGCACAAGCATATATTTCATATTGTTCATGTCCTTGTCCATGTCCTTGTCCATGTCCTTGTCCATGTCCTTGTCCATGTCCTTGTCCATGTCCTTGTCCATGTCCTTGTCCATGTCCTTGTCCATTTCCTTGTCCATGTCCTTGTCCATGTCCTTATCCTTGTCCCCATGATGAAGTTGTCCTGTATGTTGATGACCAGCTTGTTGTTCAGGGAGAGGTGTTCAGCTCTGTATCGGATATGTCCAGGGTTTTCCAACTCGAACGAGATTTAGGTAGAGTGAGACCTATAAAACTGCAGAATAGGAAGACGACTGTTGGACTAAACTTCTGACTTTAAATAATCCAAACAACTTGATATAAAGGAAATGTGGAAACTTTATTTTCAAGCAATTGGTAAAACTATTTGAAATACTATCAAATACTTATAAGATTCCGCAGCTTTATGGGTCAGACTAATTCAAGGATTTTATAAAAAAAAGTTAAATTTTATTAAAAGATTTATTTAACTTAACATAAAAACAGTTTTCTTTTTTAACGCTTATTCTTTGAAATAAAATTAGAAACGTGATCTGATCTGAATTCATTTATCAAATTATGTATTTTTAATCTATTTAGTGAGTCTAATATTTTAACTTTTGCACAATTTTAATTAATTTTTTTAAAATCAATTCTGAAAAAATTGTAATTTCCACAAAACATTTTAAAAATTAAAAAGTAAATATTATTTTAGTCGGGGTGCTTCTAGATTTTGCGCAGAAAACACAAAACAAATTAAACAAAATTAACAGGTAAAATTATAATTCTTTATTTCCTATATCTTTGCTAACTGATGGTTAATTCTTTAATATTTCAAGCATTAACTTTTAGAAAACGGCAGCAGAATTCATTGTTGGAAATATTAAAAGTTTACTCCATTAGTTGCAAAGATATAAATATTAGAAAATTACACTTAGAAGTTAATTGAACATAAACAGAATTCTTAGTTTTCAGTATTTATCACATTTTTATTTTAACTTTTCACAACTACTGTGAAAAGTTCACATCTTAAATCCTTTAAAAGTTAGATGGAACAATTTTATTTGTAAAAAGAAATAAATACCCAAAGAGAATAGATTATATAGAGGGGAATTTACTAGAAAAAAGTGTAAAACGGCCATTTTTGTTGTACTGCAGGTGTACTTCAAACATTTGTGCTTTATAACCTTTTGGGTCCTGGAACATCATTTTATAGAAAAAAGTTTTCTTGAAAATTATTTGATTTTCTCTAAATCAAATTTCTGACAGTCTGTCATGCATTCCCGAGTTCATTTCAACATAAGTTTCGATAAAAATCAATTTGATGTTTTTATTCAGTAAAAAAACATATTTTTCAATTTGAGGTAATCAAACAGTAAACCCAATATCCTCAAGATACCAAAATATTAAGATTGAGAATGAGGAGGGTAAATCTAAAAAAAATCTAATTCTGGAAACGTATCCACTCCCAAAGTAGGAGTTTTGAACGTCGAATTTGCGCTCAAACTAAGAATTTACAGATCTTCAAAAAGTTTAATATGTCTCAAATGAATTCGAAAGAAGTTTTCAACAACACTGCATACCCAGTTCAACTACCTTACATATCCAGTTACTTCCTTTAATCAATTCATGTTTGCTCAGTTTAAATCTTATTAAAAAGTAAAACGGCTCCATGAGACAGCTAAGGTGCAACCCTAGAAAATTGGGGGAAGCTTCTACATGTATATCTCAATTCTATTTTGAGAATGGATTAAAAACATTTTCCCTGTGGAACACCTAATAAATAAAAATAAAATAATGTTAAGTAATATAGAAATAATACTTTTGTTTGGGCAGGCAGGTAGCTTGGAATTTGCTAGTGTGGGGGGGAGGTATTTTTTTGACCAGAAAACCTTAGAAAAGGTCGAAATTAAATACTTATTACACATTACAGTTTATCGATAAAATAAAAAATTAAGGCAGTATACCTGAGGATTCAGTTTAAGCATCAAGCTTTTAGCCTGAAGTGGTTTTCTTGGGCTTTTATCGTCATTTTTCTTTTTTCGTGTTTTAAAATAGTTTATGTCTATTTGTGTAAGCACAAATTTTTAGTATAAAATGTATTTATGGTTTCAGGTCTAACTCAAATCTCAACATAATAGCTATTTAAGACTCATAATTCATATGAAAAATTGTCTATTTTTATATTTTCAAATCGGAAATTTTTTTCTTTCCTGGTTCAACCTAGCATGTATTCTGCTGTCTGCATTGATTTACGAAAATCATCCAAATTTTGAGAAAAATTATTACTGTCGAAAATGGAAACCCTTCTTACTTTTTGTTTTGTTTTACAATGTTTACAAAGAGAAAATGTTCACAATTAAAATAGAAGATGGGCTTGAAGCGCCCTAATAGCCTAGTCTGAAGCAAAAAAGATTAACAATTCTGTAGACATTTACTTTACGAACGACGATTTTTACATTTTGATGTTTAATAAAATAATGATTTTAATTCACCAATAGCTAATACACACGTTAAAAGTTATTTAACCACTTTATAAAACAAAGAAATTGGAATGGATATGTCCAGGGATCATACCAGTATTAATGTGATGTACTGTGAATAATTTGTGAACATTTACAAGAATTGTACACTTTAAACTCCCTTTCAGGCTGAAGGGAGTGACAAAATTCATACCAAGGGATTGTTTAAATTCCTTTCTATTCATATTCTCTGTTCTGTGTAAATACTGGTCCATAAAATATTTTTACAGTGCACTGAAACCATTACTTGGTAAGGATAAGATATAAACTTTATTCATGGTTAATTTGGTTTTACAGGCAAACCACAGAGCATATTTCAAAATATCTAAAATACCTAAAAATAAATCATTTAATGCATTCATAACTTATGAAGTACGTACGATCTATACTAAAGGACCTGAGTTCTATATGCAACTCGATGGCGTAAACCTTAGATATTTAAAACTAGAATTTATTGCAAAATCTCAATGTCTTTGAGTGAAAAGTATTTTAAATAAAAAAACTTTGCATGTTTTAAGATAAAAAATTTTGTAGTTTTAAGAGCCCAAAACAATTTTAGTCACGGACATTATTTCTGTACGCCATGTTAGATCAATTTTTTGTAATAATGATAAAATTCGTGCACACACAATTTAATCCTTAATGATGCTAATCATTTGTTTGATGAAACTTTCTCCCGAAAATTAGCAATAATTTAGAAAATTACCTTTTACACTTTCTTTCTATATTTTTTCAGCATTCAGCATTGATAGCAATTAGGATATCATAGCACTAGGATATTAAAGCATTAGGATATCATAGCACTAGGATATTATAACATTATGATATTATAGCATTAGGATATTATAGCATTAGGATATTATAGCATTAGGATATTATAGCATTAGGAAGGATATTATAGCATTAGGATATTATAGCTTTAGGATATTATAGCATTAGGATATTATAACATTAGGATTAGGATATTATAGCATTAGGATATTATAGCATTAGGATATTATAGCTTTAGGATATTATAGCATTGGGATATTATAGCATTAGGATATTATAGCATTAGGATATTATAGCATTAGGATATTATAGGATATTATAGCATTAGGATATTATAGCTATAGCATTAGGATATTATAGCATTAGGATATTATAGCATTAGGATATTATAGCATTAGGATATTATAGCATTATAGCATTAGGATATTATAGCATTAGGATATTATAGCATTAGGATATTATAGCATTAGGATATTATAGCATTAGGATATTATAGCATTAGGATATCATAGCATTAGGATATTATATAACACTATGTTTATAGTTTTTGAAGAATGAAATAAAAAACTGTAAGCATTCAATAAGTAGTTTTAAAGGAAATTCAGACTCGTTTAAAACTTAACTTTATCCTTTTATCTTTTTGTACCTCATAATCAGGGTTCTCATCCGAGTTGTGTTTCGTTAAAGGGCGTGTCAGCGAAAAATGAAAGGGGGTATAGGCTTACGGCGAAAAATATGCGCTTTTGACTCTAGTAATCTTACTTCTATCTGTTGCGTCTATAAGGAGAAAATTGTAAAAAACGAATCATGCTGAAGAACGTAGCGTCCATACAAATTCAGAAAGTTTGAACATTCAACTCGGATCGTAAAAAATCAATTTAATTCCAAACAACTCATTCAGATATTGCAAACAATAGTCATCGATTATTTTTCGACTCATTCGTATATAATTCATATTTCATAATATTTTTTAATAATATTTCGCTAGCGCTGGAATATTCGAACATTCCTGAAAAATATGAAAATGTCGTCTACATTATCAAAAATCCTCGAAACTGGAATACATGTTTTCAAAAGTAACTATCATCCATAAAAATATTATTAAATATCAACTATATAAGAATGCGTGGAAAAATAATCGATGATGTGGTGGTCGTGAAATCCAAATGATTTCTTCAAAAATTTAGTTTGAAACAATTTTTCATTTAGTAAAAAACAATCGTTTTTTTGAAAAGTTTGTTCCAAAAACCACTCGTTTTATAAAAAAAATGATCGTTTTTTTCCAAAACTTTGAAAAATTTGTTCGTTCAGGAAAAATATTAAAGTTTTTTTCAAGTATGTTCTAACGATTTTAAATCGTTCGTGTTTTTTTTTTCTTTTTTTATGAAAAACGATCATTTTTGATCTTTGAATGATCCATTTTTTTAATGAAAAATTTCGTTCGTTAAAAAAAACTAAGCGATTTAAATAAAGAAACTAAAAATATGAATATCTAATTCAAAATTGATAAGATCAAGCTTTTATGGGTAACTTTGTAAATCTGGTATTTGCCATCTTAGAGTGCAGGGTCACCTGAAATATTGGTTATAGTTCCTTTAAATTATTAAATCAAACCAAATCATGAATAAAACTGGTTTTTTATTTGTTTTAAATTGCAGCAAAACACTTCAATTGAAAGGGAACGATTGTCAAAAATTAATAAATTTTCATCAGGAATCTTGCATGCACACAATCTTTACAACTTTGCAACTTGATATATATAAATTCTATAAGATCTAATGTGCAAAGCTGATCTAATGTTTCTAATACAGTTTCAATATATGGATAATTATATTAGAATTAATCTGATCCTATTTTATTCTTCACGAACACTCCTTTAAAGAGACTGTAAGCGTAATGTTAAATGACCCCCCCATGTACATTTGAAAACGGTAGTGGTACCCTTTAAACCTTTCTCTAATCGATGATGTAGAAGATATCTAATTCATATTGATCAGACAAAGCATTGCCACTTTGCCTGTAGGGTTACCTGAAATTACACTTACAATCCCTTTACCTGTAGGAAACCCGATCCATACCTACAACGTGGTGAAGAGGTTGGCCGTGGACTTCGTCAGCTTGGAGAAGGAAATCAGTTTTGATGATTGGAAAGGTAGAGTGAGACCCAAAACATATAAAAGAGATACATGCCTGATTCACAACGCTACCTTTGCATGAGAAAATATTATGGAGATATCCTTGTTTTATATCAAAATATTATGGAGATATCCTTGTTTTATATCAAAATATTATGGAGATATCCTTGTTTTATATCGAAATATTGATTATTTCTTATTTCAGTTGTACTATATGAAAGTTAATTCCAGGGAAGAAATATGACAGAATGTATCTCTTTCTATCCTTTCATTGTTCATTTTTACTGCATAAGATAAAAGTTTCAAATGTTGTGAAACGGACCTGAGACTCGTAAATAGAGGGTGGATAAATTTTACGTACACAGTCACTTTAGGTTAAATAGCAAGACAACTTTTTGTATTTTCTGGGAGTTTAATGTATTGCTATTTCTATATTTCAAACAAAAATAATAAAAAAACAGGAAAAAGATGAAATTCCATAAAAAATGTTTAGAAAAAAACTTTATTTTTAGAAAATAGTTTGCGAGTTGAAAGATTAAGGCTAGGGGGTGTGGTTCCGAAAGAAAAAGATCTTCATGGAGCTGCACAAGCTTTAATAAGACTACAGGTATTTAAATTTTATTTCTATGAATTAAAAACTGACATTTTCAACTAAATCTTATCACAACTTCTTAATTTGTAACGTGTTGATTTTAAAAAGCTGTAATCATTTGAAAATAGTTAATCATATCAAAAAAACGAATTTTGATTTGAAGATTTATTTCAATATTTACATTTTTGCTGAACCCCTTAAACTCTTAAAGACGTAATTACAACTGACTCCCCATTTTTCTATAAAAAGTGTTAAATTCTGATAATTTCCGTCATTTTTTCATCAAATACACGTAGGCTTGTTTAAATGTCGTCTTCCTATTCGAAAGTTTTTATATCACACTGCATAATTTGATGTTTAGGATGTTTATGAACTAGAGATATCTCACCTAGTCAGGGGTAGGATAGGAGACAGGGATACCACAGCTAAACTAACAGCTCAGGTAGGATAGGAGACAGGGATACCTCAGCTAAATTAACAGCTCAGGTAGGATAGGAGACAGGGATACCACAGCTCAGGTAGGATAAAAGACAGGGATACCACAGCTAAACTAACAGCTCAGGTAGGATAGGAGACAGGGATACCACAGCTAAACTAACAGCTCAGGTAGGATAGGAGACAGGGATACCAAAGCTAAACTAACAGCTCAGGTAGGATGGAGACAGGGATACCACAGATAAACTAACAGCTCAGGTAGGATAGGAGACAGGGATACCACAGCTAAACTAACAGCTCAGGTAGGATTGGAGACAGGGATACCACAGCTAGACTAACAGCTCAGGTAGGATTGGAGACAGGGATACCACAGCTAAACTAACAGCTCAGGTAGGATAGGAGACAGGGATACCACAGCTAGACTAACAGCTCAGGTAGAATAGGAAACAGGGATACCACAACTAAACTAACAGCTTAGGTAGCATAGGAGACAGGGATACCACAGCTAAACTAACAGCTCAGGTAGGATAGGAGACAGGGATACCACAGCTAGACTAACAGCTAAGGTAGAATAGGAGACAGGGATACCACAGCTAAACTATCAGCTTAGGTAGCATAGGAGACAGGGATACCACAGCTAAACTAACTAGTCAGATACAGGGTTTCTTAATAAAAAATTTTAATTCAGTGACAAAAATAAATTCGTCTATTATAGGAATTTGCGCTGTATTGTTATTGTTATTGTTTATAGGGAAACCCTTATGGAAATGAATAAAAGATCTGTTGGAAAAGTAGTTAAAGACATACTCCGTAAGTTTAAAGATGGTTGAATTAAAAACGAGATTAAATACAAATCAAAGAAATCGAACTCATCTCTCCCTGGTTAGGGCATGGATGGATACCAGATCATCCCAAACCCTGTTGTTAATATAGTTTCCCATTATATTTTTAAAACTCTAGTAAATCATCTTTGTAATTAAGTTTTTCGCTCAAATACATTTATATATATGTTCGATATATAGCTGATCAAACAGCAAATACATACAGCAAATGCCGGGCACCTCAGCCAGTATTCAAATAAATGTTTGTTTTAGGATTGTTTGTTTATTGGTAAACATTGTTTTAACGGAGGCATTCTTTCTCGAAGCATTGAATGGTTTGAGGAGGCGTGGTACTTAGCAGGGGAGGAGCAGAATACAACAGTTACACAGGTATACAGGGGGTGTGGTACTTAGCAAGGGAGGAGCAGAATACAGTTACACAGGTATACAGGGGGTGTGGTACTTAGCAAGGGAGGAGCAGAATACAGTTACACAGGTATACAGGGGGCGTGGTACTCCGCAGGGGAGCAGAATACAGTAACACAGGTATACAGGAGGCGTGGTACTTAGATGGTGAGTAGAATACTGTTACACAGGTATACAGGGGGCGTGGTGCTTAGATGGTGAGCAGAATACAGTTACACAGGTATACAGGGGGTGTGGTACTTAGCAGGGGAGTAGAATACTGTTACACAGGTATACAGGGGGGCGTGGTTCTCCTCAGGGGAGCAGAATACAGTTACACAGGTATACTGGGGGCGTGGTACTCCACAGGGCAGTAGAATACAGTTACACAAGTATACTGGGGGCGTGGTACTCCGCAGGGGACAGTCCTTCAATTATCATACAGGGAAATTTTCATCTTTCTAAACATCCCAACGAATGATTTTACAGGTTCTTTAAATTTCGAATTCGAAAAGTTTAAGAAAAATCAATAGTACAAAAGAACCTGTATTTCTAAACAGTCATAAATTTTTCAAGTAATTTATCTCTAAAGTCTGCCATGTGGGTTTAGAAGTTTTGAATAGTTATAGGACAACTTTATACGGCACACCGCGCATGCTGTATACAGTGTAGATGCCACACAGACTGAAAAACGTTTGTTTGTTAAATATTGGAAATGCAATATCGATTCTATTTGTTGACCTTATGTATTAAATGTTCTCATTTTTGCAAAATTTTTAGGACAAAGTTTCCAGGTATTACTCGTGAATAATATTTTTAAACTTTTTCTTGGAGCATAAGAGAAAGAAAAACACCTCTAATGGCAAAAAGCAAAACCACAGTTTAACTAGAATAGAAAACAGTGGATTTATTATCGACTGCGTTTTTCTTTTGATCATGAAATTTTAATTTTCAAAACACAACTATTTCTGAAACATGTTCAGAGCACTTTTTAAAAATATTGCAACTTGAAAAATCAGTTCTTCTGAAAAAGAAAGAACTAAGCAAAAACAAATAAAGAATGATTATAATAATAATAATAACTGAAATTGTTGTCCAGAAATTATGAGGTGGTGGATAGACAGGGTGATGAAGATGACGCGGCAAATTTCGCTGCTCTGTGCCGGGGAGAGGAGCTCAGAACCGGTTTCTCTGCTCGTCTTTCCTGCAGGCTGGAGCACAGGGGGGAACCATACTTGTTTCTCATGCCAGCTCAGGTATCAGGAAGACGACTTTACATTGAAACATTAATTTCTAAAATATTTCTTCCACACAAAATTCCCAATTGTGAATCTGTGATGCATCGAGGCAGACATAATAGCCTAGCTTGTACATACAGGGTGTCGTCCCACATCAAATTAGACCGCATTAATGGGTCTAAATTACAATTTGGGGGATAAATCAGAAAATTTAAGAAGAATGAATCATTTTGAAAAAATTAATAAGGCTAATAGAAATTTTGTTTGTAGAAAATGCTAGATTTTTTTAGTATAATGTGCGTATTTTGGCGTTAAAGATTGGAGATAATCTAATATGATGTGGGACGCTCTGTAGTTTATACTATGTACAATTATATACAAGTTTATACTATGTACAATTATATACAAGTTTATACTATGTACAATTATATACAAGTTTATACTATGTACAATTATAAACAAACGGAAATAATTAATTTTGAAAAAATGATGGCTTGTGTCTTTGTTTAGTTTCAAATGCAATAAGTAATTTTAAAACTTTTATTTGCAATTAAGTAATTTTTTATTTAGTTGGAGCTTGTTCATGATAACCCTGAAATACTGATGTTCCATAATATCGCGAGCAGAAGCGAGATACAGGAAATCAAGGACCTAGGAAACCCGTTGGTAACCATTTTTTTACTTTTTTTTAAATCAAAAAGAGATTTTGCAATAAAAACTTTTGAACATGAAATTAACAGTTTTTATTAACCATTAAGTTGACGAGATCCCAGGTGCTGGGAGGAAAACAAGGATTTAATGAGGTTTCCAGTACAAGGCAAAATATCAATACTTTAAGTAAAAAACATGTCAACACTCAAAATTGAAAATAAATTCTGCTTAAAATTAGAACGTTTATGTTGTTCATCCTACCACTATTGAAAAAAGTGAGAAATTTTAACCAATGCTAAATAGAAGATTAAAGAACTATTATTTTCTCAACAACAAAAAAATTGCGGCTCAACAAAATTTTACACTTTGAAAAATTTATTTATTCTTATCATTATTTTGTTTAAAATTATATATTTTTTGATCCTAAAGAGTTTGAAAAAGATATTGAGTTATTTTATAGAACTAGTAAAACTGGATGGTTAGACGACAGTACAAATCCCACAGTCTCGAGGTAGAACTTTACATTTTTATAAATTGTCATTTATAGGGTTTTCAATTCTTTTTCGGAGCAATTTGGTTTCGCTACCAACAAGTTACCTTTCCTGAAGCTGTAGAGAATGATAAACCAAGGATAACTTAATGAAGTTAACTGCGGAACCTTCCTTAAAGAGACTATAGTCTGTAGGCCTAATTAATTGACCCTCTATGCATGTAAAACTCACAATGCCCGATTTACAACGGTACCCATTATATACAGTTAAACCCTATATAGGCTATTACATACAGTTAAACCCTATATAGGCCATAAATCAAAAGTATTCATCAAATGTCGTATTCTTCACTTTCTGATAATCGAATGTTGGAGATATTTAGTTTTTTAATTAAATGATTATATGGACCTCTTTAAAACTTTTCCCGCGTATTTATAGCTATTTATTTATTTATGCAAATACTGAGATTTACGTAAAATAAAATTTTCAAAATAACATTAAATAAATTCTTTCGATGTATGACTCATTTAGGGTTTAACTGTATATATTCAAACTTTTGTTTCTTTAAACTGTTTATTTTCATTCGCGGTTTCTCTGCAAAAGTTGGAAGAAGCAATAATGTATTTGACAGATAAACATTTTTCGAATTAGAAAATGAAACGACGTTAACTAATACATTTTTATCAGATTAAAGGTTCAAGGGTACAGTTGTAAATCAGATTAAAGGTTCAAGGGTACAGTTGTAAATCAGATTAAAGGTTCAAGGGTACAGTTGTAAATCAGATTAAAGGTTCAAGGGTTCAGTTGTAAATCAGATTAAAGGTTCAAAGGTATAATTGTAAATCAGATTAAAGGTTCAATGGTACTGTTGTAAATCAGATTAAAGGTTCAAGGGTTCAGTTGTAAATCAAATTAAAGGTTCAAAGGTACAGTAGTAAATCAGATTAAAGGTTCAAGGGTTGTATAAACTTTATATAAGATAAACCTACCTACTAGATGTTACACAGAGCTAGGTGGGAGAGTGTGGAAGCTGAAGAAGGTTTATTGGACGATTATTCAGGATTAATTCCATGTGGAATAACAATTAAACCTTAAAATTAGATTAAAATCAGCTTTAATAATTCCTAGACTTGGACGTCGAATAGAGCTGTTGACTGGACTAAAAACCAACACATCAAATGATGACGCTGAACTTCTTCAGGTTAACTATGATCCTAATCCCAATATATCAAACATTAATATTTTACAGTGCTTAAAGGTTTTAGGACTCCATAATTTCTCTTTATCGAGCTTTAGCGAGGGCCAACATTTTAATAAGCGAAAATCTTCAAGATACAGAGAAAACCTTTTAGCTCGTCGTGTTAAATAATTGTGATAATTGTTACATTGCGATTTTTCTGGATATGTCAAATTTGTAAAATGTTTGAGAAGTGTGACAATTATCAAAATGTTATGCTCTAGCTAAACGAGATTTATTTTATTAAACTTTCCAATATGATTAGAACCTGAAGAATATGATTAGAACCTGAACAATATGATTAGAACCTGAACAATATGATTAGAACCTCAACAATATGATTAGAACCTGAACAATATGATTAGAACCTGAACAATATGATTAGAACCTGAACAATATGATTAGAACCTGAACAATTCTGCAGATTTAAAAAATTGTCTTTATTACCTGACAAATGAACTGATTATTAGTCTGCGTCCTATTTCATAATCGTTAAATGTTTGCAACCTGAGCTGGAAACTTTTGGGTTGGATACTTATAACCCCAATCACTAGATCTCAATATTCACAGTGGACACTTTTGAATTTTGATTTCCTGCTTCTTAACATTTTTAAAGTTTAGAATAAAAAGGGTACAACATCAGGGACCAATATTAATGAATAATGAGAAGTAGCTGAACTATATGTTATAAACTAAGTAGAAGCTCTTCAACTTGAACTGGCACTCAAGAGAAGTAGTTCAACTTCGTCTACTTAGTTTAACTCACTCTCAGAACTTTTTTTTAATTTTTGTAACATTTGAACTATGTTTAAGATCCTAAAGGCTAAAATTTTGATGTTGTTATAATTTAGGTTGCTAATTATATGAACGGAGGTCATTATAGTCCTCACTTTGATTATGTCATGAAGGATAAAGCGCCTGATCATGTAAGTTATTTATATCACACGCTATTTTAATCTTTTTGAAACTTTTTTTGTGATGTTTCAGTTTTAAAAATATATTTACATAAAAAGCTTAAAAAGTGCGACTTTCACTTTTTCAATTAAAGTAGATTTCATGAATAAACTGTAATAGATATCATAGAATATCTAAATTAACAAGATAAAATACACCCTGTATTTATGTAAATTTTGTAAAAAAAATTTAAAAAATTGTTGACTAGATGATCTACCTGCCCTACTCTAACCAGTATATTGGTGACCGGCTTGCTACTTGGATGTTTTACTTGAACGAGGTAAGTTCACAATTATTTTTAAAATCATTTTTTTGTTTTTAGACAAATTGTAAAATTTTTGTTGTGTGGAAGAATGCATCAGAGTAATTCAGAACACTTTATCACTTTATCACTTTTATTATTAACAGTCCATTTATAGTAAAAACTTGAAGAGAAACTCACGTATAAAGAACTAAATAAAGGAAACTTGACAAAGAGAAACTCAATATAACAAGCCAGATTGAATCGATTAAAGCAATAACTTTGCACGGACATTTATTTTACATTATTATTAAAATATAAACTGAGGATCAACCGAAGTTAATCCTGGAATCATAGATGGAGATAATTCTCCTCCTGGAGCTACTGGAGATGTTATCGACCGCTCTCCTCTGATACTTCATCAAGACTAACGTCTAACCCTCTTTTGGGGCACAAAATGGACGTTCATTTTGCTTTCTCTACCGACGAAAGCACCGTTATCCGTGCTCCCCAGATAAGGGTCACCAGGGTTTGAATCTCGTCTCCGTGGAAAATTCCTCCCCCCGTTGGTAACAGATGCAGAGTAACGGGTTAAATCATTATTATTTGTCTGTCCAGTCCTCAACTCATGATAAAACTTGGCTTGGGTTGAATGAACTAGGATACAGTCTCCAACGTATATACATCTTTGGATGGGTTTACAATAGAGTAGCATGCTAATCATAAAGGCAATCTAAAAGCTTTGTCTGAATTAGATATCCACGTTTATAATTTTGAAGACTCATTATTTTCAATTGTGATTTCTCTATGAAAGTGATTTGCGAAAAGAATGTAGGAATCATCATAATAATGATTCAAGTTAGAAAAACAACTTTATCTTCCACGTTGATCTGATAAAGGTTTCTAAGGTACCTAAATCACAACAACAGCAAAAATCCTCTTCAAACAAAGATAAAAACAATTGTTGTAATTCCAATATTTTGTTAAGAGAATTTAATGTAAGACACCCTCTACAGACCCAAGGCTTCCAGGACTAGATTCACATTGAGAAAATAGTGTGCTCGTGCATTTTTCGGATCTGTAGTAGAATCCCTTTAAAGTTATTTTAGCAATAATAACTTTATTAAGGCTGATCCTACACCCATTAAAATATTTTGCGAAAACTCCCTTTAATATTTCTTTATAGGTTGGTGAGGGTGGAAGGACGGTGTTTCCCCGTCTTAAAGCTGGAGTTAAACCAGAAGCAGGAGCTGCTGTGTTTTGGTAAATTAATATTTTTTTTTCTTAAATTTTCTAGGGGAAATGATCACTCTTTCATATTCTTTCATCGATTTTGTAAATTTTTATGGTTTGAATTAGCTACTTGTATGAATGATGTTTCTGAATGTCGATTTCTGTGTTTTCTAAAATTTGAGAAATTTCAAGTTTGTTCTGTTTAGGTATAATCTGGTTGGTTCTGTTTAGGTATAATCTGGTGGGTTCTAGTGGGTTCTGTTTAGGTATAATCTGGTGGGTTCTGTTTAGGTTTAATCTTGTGGGTTCTATTTAGGTATAATCTGGCGGGTTCTGTTTAGGTACAATCTGGTGGGTTCTGTTTAGGTATAATCTGGTGGGTTCTGTTTAGGTATAATCTGGTGGGTTCTGTTTAGGTATAATCTGGTGTGTTCTGTTTAGGTATAATCTGGTGGGATCTGGTGATGCTGATCATAGAACACTACATGGTGCATGTCCAGTTCTCTACGGCACTAAATGGGGTAAATTTAATAAATTCACTAGTGTCTGCAATAGTGTCTGCGCAAAATATAGGTTTTCAATTAATCATAGGTTATTCTTAAATTGTTTGCCATATACACAAGTAATTTAGTGGCATGTCTGATTCACATCTAGACCTTTTAAAGTTTTGTCTGATCAAAAGTGGAACAGATTTTTAGGATTTCTCTTTAAAAATGATCAATTTGTTCAATTGTGACTGAGCAGAATGCCTGCTACAGAAACCATGGAGGAAATTGTGAGAAGTAAACCCTTTCTTAAACTAGTAAAACTATATCTTCCAGATCATTGATCAGAAAAGCTATCAAGGGTATGATTGGGACACCACACTCTATAAACGGATAATAATTGTTTCACTTGAAATTATGACTAGAGATCTGTTAACTATTATTTTCCTTCTAGTTGCAAACAAATGGATCCGAGAAGGAGCTCAGCTGTTTAGAAAACCTTGTGCAGCAAACATTAAACAGAAATCTGTAAAGAAAATTTAAAAACTGGTTTTAGTCTCAAAATTAAACCCTGTCTTGAATCTTCACGGGTGTCCTACAGCAAATTTTAGCCAATTTGGTCCAGCCCAAATAGTTTATCAAGTCCAATAGGTGGCAACAGAGAAATGAACCAATTATGCACAACGCCACAAGTGTCAAATATAACAAGGAAAACGAAATTGTCTCAGATTAGTTGACATGTTTTCCAAGATTAAAGAAAAAGTTTTAAAACAGAAACTAAAGGACCTATAAAATTACACTTATTTTACTGTAAGAAAAGCACTTTATTCTAAAATTATTACTATTATTGATAATTTTGTCGGACACAAAAACTGATTTGACACTTGTGACGACAGAATACAACTGTACTGAGAGTGTACAAATTCTACGTTGCCATCTATTGTACTAGAATCTATTTCGTTGAGCCGTTTAGGCAGCTATAGCTAATATATATTTGTATATAAGCGAAGAGCTTTTTTATAAAGGTAACATAAAAATGTATCACCTCAGAATTTTCGTTTTCCCCCAATGTCTACAAATGTAGTAATTAAACTATTACACCATGAAGATATTATTTTAAGTATAGCTATACTGTGATATGAATGTATATATTTTGTTAATACTGTGATATAAAGGAACTCATCACTTGCTGAAAACTCTAATTATATAATCACTAAACTTACTATAATTTTATAATCCCTATATCTTTGCAACTTAATAGTGTAAACCTTTCATTTTCAATATTATACTATTTGATCTAACACAATTCATAATTCTGCAACATGAGGGTTAAACGATTTAGAGATTAGAAAATTAGATTTTGTTGCAAGTAATCAGTTTCTTTGTTTATTATTTAGCTTTGATATAAATATAAGTTTTTGAATTTGAATAAATAAACATTTATTGTAAACCAAATAATTTAACAATACAATAATTTAAGATTAAAATTTAATCAAAAACAATCAAATTTATAATATCAATAATTGAATATTCAATAGTTATAGAAACGTGAAGGGATACATAATTACAACTTCTCTATTTAAGAATTGGAGTCCTAAGTCGTTGTTTAGAAGTCACACTTCCTGAAATAAAATAAATTTATATTGTTAAGAAGAACTTTAATTTTTAACAACGGAGTTATACACGAAGAACTAGTCTTTAGATCAAGATCAGATTTTCTGAGATATGAGGTTTCCTTTAAGAAACTGAACACTTGAATCAAACTCAAGATTTCAAATTATATTAATAAATAAATATTAATAACATAAATACAGGATTATGTGACTGTAGAGATGACAGGAAACTCCGTTATTATGTCGATTCCAAGGTTTAATTTTGTCTTCTGTTTTAAATATTGTCTTTTCATGATTTTGCAAAGAAAATAACAAGTTATACAGAGATTTGTGAATATGAGGGAACAGTAAGTACAAATTCCATATAGTCATCTATAAAGTCTCATTCTTTTTGGGTCACCCTATATATATAGTTAATAACTTGATCATTTTAAGGAACTTTAAAGTAGCATAAGAACAGAGCATGGTAAAAGTAATGCTGAGCTTTGGACCATTAAAGGCGTTACAGAACCTTTCCTGTAACCGTAATGTATGATAAAGCATTTAAAAAATTAGGAAATAATTTCTTAAACTAAAGGGACCGTTCACATATTTAGGGCAATTTGAGAGTAAACTAAATAGCCTAATAGCTATTCATTGGTATAAGTCTTACTTTTCAAAGATACCTATGAGAGAAGAAAAAGCTGATTTATTGTTTAGAATTACAGCGGAAAGGTATGATACCTTTGCATTTTAACTATTTGATGCTTTTTGTCATAGTCATGAATTTTTAAAAAGATTCAAAAATTAAATTCTATTATCTAATAGTTAATTGTATATTTCTATTGTTTTATCAAAATTATTCTAAGATTGTCTATTTTCAAAATAAAACTTATTTTAAACATTTGACGGTTTGATACGTTTTCCCTACTTCCCCGTGATTTTTTAAAGAGTTGGAATCTAAGAACCGGTTAACTGAGAGAGAAATTTGTATTTACATGTTCATTTGTTAAATCAAGTTTGCACAAGAAAAACGTTAATTTTTTGCTAATTCTATAATCAAACGTTTTTATATTTTATTACATAATGGCTGACACATGATATCATTGGAATATTATAATTTCAGATTCTTTGGGCTTTTGTTGCTGAAAAAATGTTTAAATAGTGTCTGTGCAAAGGTATCATACCTTTCCGCTGGAATTCTAAACAATAAATCGGCTTCCTGTCCTAGATATCTTTGAAAAGTAAGACTAATATCAATGAACAACTAATAGGCTAATTAGTTTACCCAAATGTTTGAACGGTCCCTTTAAATAAACCCATGGTCTTAGATAATCCAGTTACACACAAGGTTATAATGCAAGGAAAGTTATTTCAGAGGTGTACACATCTTTTGCACTGCAGTGTACTGTCTCTGGGGGGTAATGTAAACACAAGATGGATGTCAAAGACTGACATCGAAGCCTGACATGGGATCCATCTTTCGCATAAAAAATCAATGAAATATTCTGGTCATAGAACTATTATGTGAATTATCAAAATTATTAAAATAAAATGCTTTTAACCTCCTTGGATACAAAGCGAACACTGATGCATCTACTCTTGTTCCGCCCAGAGAGAACTGGTTTCAATATGTATGCAAAGTATATGCAACTGCATTTAACTTTCCTTGCATTATAACCTTGGTTACACAGAACTTGATGCGACAATTTGAAAAAAGTTTATGGGACAATTATTCCGGAATAAGCTTCTAGGGGTAGATTTATTCTTGATTTGGTTAAGAAACGTTCAGCCCTTAATTTCCGAAATCTTTTAATGGTTTAGAATTTATAGAAGCTTCAGGAAACGTTCTGTAAGGCCTACAAGAGTTAAAATTGATCTGGAAAAAATTTGAAACCTACTTTTGATAGAACTTATGAAGATTCTCACCTGATGATGGAGGTCTGCTGATTTTACTAGTTATACTTCTATGTTGCAAGTATGCCATATGTGATTCCCTCCAGTCCTGTTCTAACCGAGTAAAAATACCTCCTGGAGGCGCTAACATTCCGCTATCCATTCGGGACAATTGCTTTCCATTTAAACCATCAAACTTGCCCTTATCTACAGTTGCTGTTGGGACTAGTTTTAGTTTACTCTCTCGCCTGGGAAGCGTCTTGTTAATTTTGTTCCGTAATGTAGCAATATGGGTACTTATTTCTGATAGTGCAGTGTCTTCAACTTCCCGTTGATAGTCTTGGTTCATTCTAGTGCCTCGAACACTATTCCACTCATACCATTGGGCATCAACAGATCTACACAATTATTAGATCAATATTGATTCGGAGGAGACAAAATTTTTGCATCTGTAACATGTGCCTCTAAGGCAAAGACAGTAGTTCCATTCCCCATTGCTGGGTTTACCTTAAATGATAATTTTTATGAGCCGGTGCCATTGATGTACAACTTTACCCAAATTAAAGACTTAAATCCTTCATAAATGATAACTTAAGAACAGTTGCTGAAGCTTAGAGCTTTACTGATCAAAAGTTTTGCCCTCTTTTGATCTGTATGCATACCATACTTACTTATCTAAAAATGGCTGAGGTCGTTCTTCTTTTCCAACTTTGACTTGGATGCAAAGCTCCTTGTGCTCCTCTTCATCTTCCCCAAGTACATCATGCTCATGCTCATCTTCACCTCCAGAGCTCTCATCCTCATTGCTAATATTTAAATAATATTATTGATTCTTACTTTAAAAAGTATTAAGAAAACAAAAACTAAAAATGAAATTTCACAAACATATCTGAGGCTTGTAAAAGTTTCATGAATTTAATAGTTGCATGAATTGAACCAGCCATAACTTAATTGAGAATGTTGTTCTAAATCACCTTGAAGATGATGATGAATCTGATGTCTTTGACTTTTTTAGTCTTATTGATCTCTTAACGCGACCATATCTCTGCCCAAGACTTGATAGAGGCTTCTTTTCAGCACCAGACATAGGATCTCCCACAACTAGAAGAAGTTTTCACTTTTTAAAACTCTAAACTAATATTAATCAGTAAGACCTATAAGGGTTAGGACGATCATAAAACTTATGTGGTATTTAATAAAAACTTATCTATGAATCTTATAAATCTTTGATAGAATCTAATGTGATATCTTAGGAAAACAGATTTTGATAAATTTAAGTATCAAATATCTATCAGTTTGATACAGAAAGAGGAAAAACATTATTACCTTTCTTAACTTGTGGCCGTGGAATGTTTTGCCTTCTGGAATTCCATGGAAATCTAACAAGGCCAGATGTTGATTGCATAGGATTCAAAGAATAGGAAACTGCTTCCATCTTGGAACTATCATCACCCTCATTTTCACTTGACACCTATTACAAATAATGTCTCTGGACTCCAATGTGCAATGCAATGCAATATTTGGGCAAGCAATGTCTAGAGAAAAACCACCCAAGCCAATTTGAATTTGATGGTGTTGTAAGAAACAAATCATCCAAAATTAGTAAAAAAAAATTTTGTACCTTTTCAGCTTCCGGTCGTGGAAGAGATATCGAAGATGCATCGGCCACAATTTTGATTAAAGTTGATTTGCGTGATGGGATAATGCATATCAGGTCTCTGTGTGTTATGAGCGTGAGGTAGATATCAGTTTCTTCAGGAGATTTAACCTTTACTTTGTGGTCCCGAAATCGACAGCCCATCCTTTCCTAAAAATATGCATTTAGAGGTGTAAATTCTTGTACTGACATCAGATTAATTTAAACTTTTTGGATATCCTGTGAAGATAATTAAGATTTCAATCCTAAACGGCAGCATTCCTTCTGCAGTGTAATTAGTTACATTTGTACAGTTTAGAATTGGGATAAAATTATCCTCAGTGTATTTCAAATCAACAGATTGGGATTTTGGCTATTAAACAAAAAAGTACTGAGATGAAAAAACTCCAAAGCATTGTATTCACATCAAGATAACACTGATTTTTCTTTAACCTGTTCAATTGGAAGAAACCTTGCTGCAGCTCCTTCACAGCATGGATATTGGCCTAAAGGAAAGCAGGCACTTCGAAAAGGCATTGCTGGAAATTCTGGCTCAGCAGAATGATAGGAACAGAATTCGAGCAAATAGGACTAAATTATAAAAGCTTGTTTAGTTAAACTCCTTAGATGATAAAGCATGAAACATGATGAAGGATGAATGGAGAGTTAAACTATCCTAAGCAGAAATTATCAATTGACGCTGATACTTTACCTGGAAATATCGACCACAAAGAAAGCAGTGCATAGCATGGGCCATTCCCCAAAGTCTCCAGAAGACCTAAATTAATGAAACATTATTATTCTTAAATTTTTTATTTGGCCATCCTTTAACCATTTTGCACCAAGAAGAAATGCATGATAGTGCTTGTTTCTTTTTTCAAGAAGCTCTTTACTTTCTAGTGCAAAGTCAATAATGGCCTTTCAGCCCAACTATGGTTTCCAGCAAATAAAAACTTTCGCCAAAAATGCAAAAATTTTGATCATATATTTTGCAAGACAACTAAATGCAAAAAAGTACAAACTTTTTCAGCGAAAGCATTTTTTTCACAGAAAATACGAAAACTTTCGTCCTTATTTTTAGCAAGCAAACACAATGCGAAGGTTGAGAGATTTTTGGGAAACAATTTTCCCTTTTTGATGGATATCCTAAGCCCGACAGGGTTAAAATATAAAGCTTGAAAATTTTTGAATTTGAGATGAATACCTTTCTCCATGATTTTAGCTCTAGTCTTAAACTCTTGATGAAATCATTGACACTGAAAGACTCATCCCTGAAGTAATAAGGGTTAAGACATGGTAATGTAAAAATGTATCTTAAATAAAGCCATGTGCACTCATATAAGCTTTTTCCTCCTTTTTAATTGCTAAAAACATTTTTAATGAAAATTGAATCCTATATAATGTTAATTTCAAAATATAAAATGTATCTATAAAACTTTGGATGGCCAGCCAATCAAAACAACCAGAAATGGTTAGGCTGTAGTCATGTTAGTGATGGTTTAGTTATAAATTATAAAATTAAAAATGTATTATTGTGATGTTAGCTGAAATATATATCTATCAATCTATCTATCTTACCTAATGTGCATAGGAACTATTTTCCCAGAGTAATCTATACTAGAATACTTGGGTAAGCAGGATAATAACTCAGCAGTACTTGAAGTCAAAAACTTCCCACAATTTTGGCATCTAAACATGATATCATTATAGCATCATACAATTCTGATACAGTTGCATTAAATACAATAATATATTTATATTATGAAAAATATTCTTATACAATTCTCAAACCAAAGTGGCGCTTGAGAGACAGAAAAAGAGAAAGACCATTTTAAGATTCAAATAAAATTAAAACATCGTATTAGAAGAATGTTCTCTAAATTACGGTCTTTGATTCATTTTACATAAAATCCCTAAGAAATTTCTACAAACAGAGAAACCAATAAAATGTCAACAAAAATTATTTCTACATAAAGAGAAACCAACGAAATGTCATTAAAAATTATTTCTACATAATGAGAAACCAATAAAATGTCATTTAAAATGAGTTCTTGTACCAAAAGCAACCGCTGAAAGTGACACTGATTATGCTCGAAATTGTAGAGTCATATCTTTCTCAAGTAAAGACGACCTTGGAAAATATTCTCGTATGATTTTTATTTGTTGTTAGAATAACTTAAGAGTGCTTGAACTGGATTGGTAATATCTTCATGTGGATTCTATTAAACATCCTATTTGTACCAACCAAGAAGTTGTCCTAAACTCCCTTCAAACACTTTCAATTTCTCAATTTATAATGTTTAATGCAAAAAATTAAAACAGCAAGATACCAAGTGGTTTTTTGTTTTCAGCTTTGTATTCTTAAATTTTAATGTTTATTTGGTATAGGGAAAGCTCATTGGACCGGTAGAGGCGCTGTTTTTGTAAATCAGCCACTTGGTAAAAACTCTGTTGGAAATATTTCTCATGAGATAGCAAAATCCCTAGGCAAGGGAAAGGAGAGCCTCAAGGATTTCACCTTCCACTCATTTTGTCTATCTTCTGCATCTGCTGCAGCTGACAATGGTGCAACAGCTCAACAGATGATAGAATTTTATTGCTGGAAAAGTGAATCAATGCCACAAGAATACATTTCCACAAGTAAAAAAGCAACTAACAACATGGCTGGTCTTTTAAAACCGGAGACTGTAACTTTTAGTAGTTCAGCAGCTTCCTCTAGTGGAGCAGTTACTTCAGTTCTAACAGCATTTTTAGTCCCAGCAGTTCCTTCAGTTCCAGTAGATTCTTCATTTCCAGCAGTTCCTTCAGTTCTAGAAGTTCCCTCAGTTCCAGCACCTTCTTCACTTCAAGCAGTTCCAGCAGTTCCTTCAGTTCCAGCAGTTCCTTCAGTTCCAGCAGTTCCTTTAGTTCCAGCAGATTCTTCACTTCAAGGCTTTTTTTACTTTTAGCAGCTTCTTCACTCTCAGAAGCTTCAGATCCAGTCTCTTCTTGCTGTGCAGCTCCTTAGGACATTTTTCACCCTCCCTGACTATTACAAAGAAAAACGAGAAAGTAATATATATACAAACTTTAATGGAACTTTGTAATTGATCATGTTACATGTATATATTTAATAGAATATAACGTATGAACAAACTTTATCTGTATATTCAAAATATTAAATTTTGTATCTGTATGTTTATTTTATTTTCGTCAACCTCGGAAAAATAAACACAATTTAAACACAAAAATGCACAAATATTGAAAGGTGTAATATAATATAGCTGGGGTAATATTTTACTTTTAAGCCCATAAGAAAATAGTAAAAATTTTACCCCAGCTCAGCTGGGAATATATGGGTTTCAGGATAAGTTCACCATAGATTAAAAAGAGGCCACCCAGGGCATAAAAACAGTAAATCAATAGTATTTCTATAATATTTTCTCAAAGATTTAAAAGTAACACTTTTTAAGTACTCATGACTAGCAATAGCACTCATTACTCAATTTTATTGTAGATACCTAAAAAGGGTTGAAAGAGTACACCATATCTGATTCCCAGGATTAGGCTTCTTTAGAAATAGTAATCCAACCATCTAAATATTAGGATTAAATTAATTGTTTAGAAATAGTAATCTAACCATCTAAATATATGGATTAAATTAATTGTTCAGAAATAGTAATCTGATCATCTAAATATATGGATTAAATTAATTCTTTAGAAATAGTAATCCAACCATCTGAAGATATGAATTAAATTAATTGTTTAAAAATAGTAATCCAACCATCAAAATATATGGATTAAATTAATTCTTTAGAAATAGTAATCCAACCATCTAAATATATGAATTAAATTAACTGTTTAGAAATAGTAATCCAACCATCTAAATATATGAATTAAATTAATTGTTTAGAAATAGTAATCTGATCATCTAGATATATGGATTAAATTAATTGTTTAGAAATAGTAATCTAACCATCTAAATATATGAATTGAATTAATTATTTAGTAATAGTAATCCAACCATCTAAATATATGAATTAAATTAATTGTTTAGAAATAGTAATCCAACCATCTAAATCTATGGATTAAATGAATTATTTATAAATAGTAATCTAACCATCCAAATATATTGATTAAATTAATTGTTTAGAAATAGTAATCTAACCATCTAAATATATGAATTAAATTAATTGTTTAGAAATAGTAATCTAACCACTAAATATATGTATTAAGTAGATCATTTCGAAATAATAATATTCTTACCATCTAAGAATATGAAAATATGAATATGAAAATATGTATGATTTAGAAGTAGAATTTCAACCATTGAAAAATATGGAAAATATGAATTATTAAGAAATAGTAATCCAACCGTTTAGAAAAACATGGATCAAAGTTAAGATGTTCACCTTTGCATAAAGTCTATTATGAATTCCATCTCTTTTATCCGATATAGTTTCTAGTTCTGAGGGTTTATACAGTCTAGCCAATCTAAACAATAATAATGATTGTAAGTACAATCTGTACAATAATAATGATATAGTTTACAGTTCTGATGTAAGTACAATCTGTAGTCTGTACAATAATAATGATAAAGTTTACAGTTCTAATGTAAGTACAATCTGTACAAAAATAATGATATTGTTTACAGTTCTGATGTAAGTACAATCTGTACAAAAATAATGATATAGTTTACAGTTCTGATGTAAGTACAATCTGTACAATAATAAAGATATAGTTTACAGTTCTGATGTAAGTACAATCTGTACAATAATAATGATAAAGTTTACAGTTCTGATGTAAGTACAATCTGTACAAAAATAATGATATAGTTTACAGTTCTGATGTAAGTACAATCTGTACAATAATAATGATAAAGTTTACAGTTCTAATGTAAGTACAATCTGTACAAAAATAATGATATTGTTTACAGTTTTGATGTAAGTACAATCTGTACGAAAATAATGATATAGTTTACAGTTCTGATGTAAGTGCAATCTGTACAATAATAATGATATGGTTTACAGTTCTGATGTAAGTACAATCTGTACAATAATAATGATAAAGTTTACAGTTCTAATGTAAGTACAATCTGTACAAAAATAATGATATAGTTTACAGTTCTGATGTAAGTATAATCTGTACAAAAATAATGATATAGTTTACAGTTCTGATGTAAGTACAATCTGTACAATAATAATGATATAGTTTACAGTTCTGATGTAAGTACAATCTGTACAATAATAATGATANGGTTCATGTTTGAGAACACATAGTTTACCTATTTATCAATGTATCTCCTACACAAGTGAACGAGGGTGTGATAGCAATTATCTGGTTCATGTTTGAGAACACATAGTTTACCTATTTATCAATGTATCTCCTACACAAGTGAACGAGGGTGTGATAGCAATTATCTGGTTCATGTTTGAGAACACATAATTCAGGCAAATGTTCACCAGATCTTCCATCTAAACAATAATAAATACATTTTTAGATTTAATCGTGAACTCGAATATATTACAAACGATAAAATGACATTCTTCCCAATTCAAAATGGAGAATATTTTTGAGACAACTACAAGAGGTTTTGATTATCTATAGCACAGAAACAAAGATGTAGTTTTGACTAGATAAATCTGGATTAGAACATTTAATCAAAATATCCACATTATTGAACACACTTAAAAATAGAAAACCACTTTGATATATTTCTAATTGTAACTTAATAAAGCTAGGTGCAAACCTTTGATGAAACCCTTACCTTGAGAAAAACAACAGTTTATCTTTCTCTGATAGTTTTCAATCTTGAGTTTTTCAGATTTGATAATTTCATTCAGAAATCCATAACTTTATGTAACTTTATAAAGACACCACAGTTAAAAAAAGGTTATCAGTTAAACATATAGATATCTTATTCGTTTATGATCATACAGAGCTTTTAAAGGGTATTGAATTGTTCTATATTTAGATGCTGGGTCACTTGAAATAACTTCTTCTTTAAGATATACCTTTAACTTATCGTATTTGATCCAACACAAGAGCCAATCAAAGATCTTTATATCACAATGAACAGAGATGTCCACTTCTTCTAACTCTTGTCCGCTTGTCACCTCCCTGAATATAAACAATCAAAGATCTTTATAAACATTTTTACATCACAACAATCACAGAAATTTATAACATACAGTCATAACCAGAAAACTCAGAATTAGAAAATCAGTGATTACTGAAATAGTTCCAAAGAGCATGAGACTAGGTCTAGGCGTCGTTCCTGGGGAACGATAGTTTTTCTAGAGAACAAACAAAATTATAAACAACGATCCCATCGTTCCAAACAAAACTTAACACATAGAAAGCACCCTTGAAAAGAACGTTAAAATCAGGAACGCGTTCTTATAATCAAGAACGCATTTTAAATTGGGAACGCCGCATTTTAAATCAGGAAAGTTTTTGGTGCNTAGACACTTTCATGTTACACGTTTCAATAAATTATTTATGTAATTTTCCTTAATGGACTCATCAGACATCTCCCTTTTAATAATGTGGTGTAAGCTTCAAGGGGTGAAAAATAGAGATGGAAACGTTTTTTAAAAATATCTATATTTTCATAGGATTTATTACATAAATAATGATATCAAATCTATATTTACACTGAAGGCAGTATTGATTAAAGCTTTTTTAACAAAAACTTTTTTAGTTAAGGGCAAAAGTGAGATTTAAAAGTGTTTTTTTTTATATGATGTAATTATACTTTAATGTAATACATGCGTAATTTCAAGTGACCCTCCATTTATAAAGTGGCGTGACCTCTTTGAAACCATCATTTCTCCATCGTTTCTGAAGCAAGAAATGTATGTTCAGTTTTGTAGAGAAACCACAAATGAAAATAATCAGTTTTCCAAATGTGAAACATGGATATTTAATACAACAATTGATCAGGCAAAGCTTTGAAGGGTATTGTTGTGAATCAGAATTGAAATTATGGCTGCAGTCCTTTCAAAACTCTCAATTGATTCTATATTAATAAAAGTGCTTTGTAGGCTTGTGAAAGAAACGAAAAAAGAAATTTACAAAATGATCTTTAAAAAAAGATAATGGAAAGCTATAAAAATACTGCCTCTAAAATCAAGAATCCGAATATTATTTTTCAACAAATCTCTAGATGTAATATTAAATGAGCCCGCCCCTCCCCCCTCGTACACCCTTGTAATTCCTTAAGTGTATTTGTCCTAGAAACAGTGAAAGGAAGAAAATTTCACGTAATATAAATATTTGAGTATAAAGAACGAAAATGGAACTGTTCTCGACAAAGAAGGGAACGGAATGGGGATGGAACTGTTCTTGACTGAGAACACAAACAACGGAGCTGAACGGGATGGATTGTTCTCGACTAAGAACACTAAGAACGGAACGGAACCGAACGAGGCTGGAACGATTGGAAAAAGAAGGAATGGGGACGGAACAATCTAGCTAAAGCTGAACGGACCGGAATGATTTTAAAAAAGGTGAAAAGTCGATTTGGCTGACCCCCCATAATAACCTACTATGGGGGGTGACTGGTTTTTGTCACAATACTTTTCTTAAATTGCATTTGTCTGTGTTTCATGTTAAGAATTGACAGAATGAATATATTCTGATAATATTTTCATTTACAAACATTGTATCAATTCTAGCTTGTATTGATTTATAATGATTTCAATTTATAATTACTTTTCCCGTTCATAAATTTATTCTTTTATGGATCCTGTAAATCCGCAATATATTTAGATATCGTCTTTGTTACAGCGAGCTTTTTCGAAAAAAAAACCATATATATTTTAAAGCTTTTTTACACAAAATTACAACAGATTCAGGATAGTCTAGATATATCCTTCAGATTATGAGACTGACGCGCTGCCTACTGCGATACGGAGGCTGTTGGCAGAAGGGAAAAGGGAGAAAAGAAATAATTCCAATGATTTCAAGGGTGGACTAAAAAAAGACCATGCGTCGGCCGGGAATCGAACCCGGGTCAACTGCTTGTGAGAATTCTGGTCCTCTTATGAGGGCAGGGGTGCGAATCCCCTTTCTGACAATGCGTCGGCCGGGAATCGAACCCGGGTCAACTGCTTGTGAGAATTCTGGTCCTCTTATGAGGGCAGGGGTGCGAATCCCCTTTCTGACAATGCGTCGGCCGGGAATCGAACCCGGGTTAAATTATTACAACCATTAATCAAAGTTATAGGGGCGCCACAAGCCCGCCCAAGTATTGGTTTGGGCTCTGATCCGCGTATAAAATACATATTCTAAAAGTTTTCACGGAAATTGGTTTGCAACCTAGATTGCGAGAAGGACTAATTTATCATCCCTGTACTGCATCATGTTTACCCCTGAATGCGATGTATATCCGTCGTATTATAGAACTTCAACACCACATAACGATGATTTAAAGACTTCTCTAAAAAATAATACTCAAGCAACCGAGCCATATTTGAATATAATAAGAGGTTTATGGTGTAAACTCAATATTGCTGACCCCCCCCCCCTCTGATACCCCATTGTGCACCCCTAGCCGTGATAGGGTTAAGCAAATAAACATCATATTGTAAACTTTTAAACTTCTAACGGTATTAAAATTCAAATTTGTAACTTTTTATCTAAAATTTATTATTTTAACCTGAAATAGATCATTCTCTCAAGAAGTAGGTTTTGAGGACAAAGAAAATCCTTTTGGAGTCCTCTGGCCTCGTCACAAACATGGATAGTAACCTCTCTCCTGTAAATTAATGGTATTTAATCATTTGAAAAATTTAAACAAAAAATATTAAATAATCGATTTACAAAATATGAAGCTATATCTGGATTTAACATAACAAAACAAAAGAAACATCTTTATTCAATTCAATTTTAATAAAATCTTTTTTTAAGGCAAAATTGTTCATAAACTGCTCTGTAAACTATTTGTGGTAATTTAAGTTCAAAGAACTATTTGGGTCCAATTCATCAAATCCAGGTTAACCGAAAATTGAATTGATAAATTCCTTTTTTCTTTGTTTTGGAATTTTCTAATTCTATTTTTTATATCATCACTATTTTTTCTTAGACAAAACCCACTTGAACTTCAGGGTCACTGGAAATATTAACAACAGTTCCATAAAGAAATAATTACGTTTCTTTTTCTTTCCTAGTTAGCTCTCTTTTCTTTCCACTTCTCTCTTCTATATCTCCAGATTTCTAGATAAAATATATTTCTAGAGAATTTCATCGACCTCTCATTGGTTACCAAAAATCTACTACAGTAAATGTTTACAGTTTAACAGTTTAACAATAAAGGTTTATAAAATTTCTTGAAAAAATGTTAACTTTTTGATTGTAATGAACTTTTAAAGTTACAATACAATGCATTTTCTACTCTACCTCAGATTTCTTTCCAATTTTTTTACTCATTTTCGGCTTACCCTGGTGGAAAATATCTTAAATCAATATAATATTTTTCAAAGTTCACCTATTTAATACTCTATTCTTTCTACGATCTCTCTGATTTTTACTTTACAAATTATTCATATTTTTGCATAACATATCATATTGTTGATTTCTTGTTAGTCAAACTGATAACATTTTCTAAAGTCCTGTCTGAGAATTGTCCTGTCTATGGATACTTGATAGTCTCATCTATGAAATGTCCTATCTATGAATTTTTTTATATGAAATTTATTTCTATGAAATGAACCAACTTAAACAATACGTTTTTTTCTAGTTAGTTTTGAAAATCCAAATCTCCATAAGATGGAGATTAATACTAGATCCCGAGATTTACAAAAGTTCTGCATAAGATAGAGATCAATACTTGATCCTGAGATTCACAAAAGTTCTGCATAAGATGGAGATCAATACTAGATTCCGAGATTTACAAAAGTTCTGCATAAGATGGAGATCAATACTTGATCCTGAGGTTCACAAAAGTTCTGCATAAGATGGAGATCAATACTTGATCCTGAGATTTACAAAAGTTCTGCATAAGATGGAGATCAATACTTGATCCTGAGATTCACAAAAGTTCTGCATAAGATGGAGATCAATACTAGATCCCGAGATTTACAACGTTCTGCATAAGATGGAGATCAATACTTGATCCTGAGATTTACAAAAGTTCTGCATAAGATGGAGATCAATACTTGATCCTGAGATTTACAAAAGATTCTGACTTTAAAATATCCGTCCAAGCAAACATATTGTAATTGGTTATAAGAATTATTTTCCTGGATAAAAGTGTGTAAAGATCTCTCCTCTTCCCCCTCCCCCTCGTCCTGGGATTGGAACCTGGAACCCGGATATAAGGATCCGGAGCGAGGGTATTTGGATCCTAATCCGGGGTAAGAAGACTCCTGATGCAGGGATCCGGCTCCACGGTATCCAGAATCCGGATCAAATCCTGTATTGAAATTTTTTTTCTTGATTTAAAGACTTATGTGAAGTTTTGAATTTATCAAAATGGATTGTTATTATTGTGGAACCCATTAAACAATGGAATATGAATAATAAGTTTGTCCAAATACAATTTGAGAACATAATTTTTAACACGCCATTCATGTTCCATTGGGGCTTGATGGCTATTTAAATTTTGCAAAATTTGTGCATAATTGAAATAGCATTGTCAAGTGCTTTTCAAAAAATTTTATAATTTTTAGCACATTTCTTCTGCAAACATTTTTACTTTATATAAGAGCTGTCCAATGGTGTATCATTTGTCATATTTGGACATCAAACATGGGATTTAGAGGGGGGGGGCGGTCAAATTCCCCCCCCCCGCGTATCCTGGTTTTTAAGTACCCCAGCAGGGATAGGGTTAATGTTGTTATGAGCATAGCAGTAGACAGTAGCTTGTAAATCAACTTCTTATGTGAAATGTGTCAGTGTACACTGTATACTGTACATTGTATACTGTACACTGTATACTGTACACTGTATACTGTACACTGTATACTGTACACTGTATACTGTACACTGTATACTGTACACTGTATACTGTACAATGTATACTGTACACTGTATAATTTACACCGTATACTGTACATCGTATAATGTACACTGTATACTGTACACTGTATAATGTACACTATATAATGTAAACTGTATAATGTGCACTGTATACTGTACACTGTATATTGTACACTGCATAATGTACACTGTATAATGTACACTGTATACTGTACACTGTATAATGTACACTGTATAATGTACACTTGATACTCTACACTGTATAATGTACACTGTATAATGTACACTGTATAGTGTACACTGTATACTGTACACTGTATATTGTACACTGTATACTACACTACACAATTGATATTTTTTCTGTTTATCGACAATTTAGAATAATAACTTAAATCTAACAGTTTCCATTTCACAGTTTAAGAATCTATGTATTTTCTAATATAAATATAAGATATTAAAAGCTAAAAAGTTGAAAATTAAAATATTTTAAATTTGTAAAAAGATAAAAAAGATTTCCTGAAGAATAGCTAGTAACAGTGTCCTCTCTGTCCGGGTATCCTTGGTGCTCTAATAAAGTTAATTCTTTAAATAAAAAAACGATGTTAAGTACTTTCACAAAGGATTTTTCCCGAGTACAAACTTCCTACGGGTATTTTCACAATTGGTAACTTATGCTTATGCTTGTCTTTTTGCTTTTCCGATTATAAGTCAAGACCGATTTGCCTCAAATTTTGATTGTAGAACTCGTTATAACCACTGGAATGTTCTTAGCTTGGTGGACAACAATGGTTGAGATCTTCAGGAAAAGCTGGGTTCCACGATTATAGATTTTTTAAATATAACTTTCACAAACTAATTACAGAGTAATTTGTTTTGTAAATTATTTTTCAGACTGAAGATTCGAGGGTAAATATATTTCATTGAACATCTCTTATCTATTTTACACCATCAAAAAATGAATGCAGAAATTAGAGGCAAATAAAGGAATTGATTCTTTACCACAAACTTAAATTTTCTAATCCCTATATCTTTGCAGCCTGATGGTATATATACACCTTTGATATTTCAAACTTGGATTATTTGATATTATAGAATTCACAGTTTGACATATCCAAGGTCTACAAATTCTAAGATTGGGTTGAAAAGATAAATAAACTTTCATTAGTGAATTGATTCACACACAGAAATAGAAAAATTTGATTAAGTTTTAAAATTAGATTTAAAATAAATCTTCTTTAAATGATTGAATTTGAGCATTTTTATCCAAAAACATTCCCCCCATAAATTTGTTCCGAATTTTCATGAATTTGTTATATGATACTAATGATATATGTTATATGATACTAATGAAAATGTTTGTATCAAATACCTGCAAATCTTTCAGAATAATGAAAATGTTCCGTCTCTGATCCGGCCTGAAAAGTATAAAAAAAAATAGTTGAAAAATAGAATTTAAAGAAAAAATATGAATAAATTAAAATTTAACAATTCTATGTTTAGCATTTTGCATATTGTTTTTAATCCAAAATTGAATTACCAATTTTGTTATTATATCTTCATATTTGCACGAATTGAACTGTTCTGCCTGGTGCATTACACATTTTTCAGGTATTGATTACTTTGCTTCTGAGATTGTGGTATTTTTGCATTCAAAAGCGAACGTGATATTTACGACTAATGACGATTAATAGAAAGAACATATTGTTTCCTCTGAAAATTTAACACTCATTATTCGACCCTCCCCTTGAATGTAAACAAAAGTCGGCCCCTGTTGCCCAACCTTATGTCGTAAAAAAGTAATTTAATAAGGTAGAAGATGGGGGAGAAGTGAGTCAAGAAGTCCCTCAGCAACTACTCACCTTATGTCTTGAAGAAGTAGGTTATGTAGGTAGAAGATGGGGGAGAAGTGAGTCAAGGAGGCCCTCAGCAACTACTCACCTGATGACGTAAAGAAGTAGGTTGTGGAGGTAGTGGATGGGGGAGAAGTGAGTCAAGAAGACCCTCAGCAACTACTCACCTTATGTTGTAAAGAAGTAGGTTGTGTAGGTAGAAGATGGGTGAGAAGTGAGTCAAGGAGGCCCTTAGCAACTACTCACCTGATGACGTAAAGAAGTAGGTTGTGGAGGTAGTAGATGGGGGAGATATGAGTCAAGAAGACCCTCAGCAACTACTCACCTTATGTCGTGAAGAAGTAGGTTGTAGCGGTAGAAGATGGGGGAGAAGTGAGTCAATAGGACCCTCAGCAACTACTCACCTTATGTCGTGAAGAAGTAGGTTGTGGAGGTAGAAGATGGGGGAGAAGTGAGTCAAGAAGACCCTCAGCAACCACTGCTGATAGCTCAATGTCGAGCAAAGGCCGCATCTCACATTCTAGAATTTTAACAAATATACTTCTGATTATCAGATTTACTGCCGATCCAAATTAAAAAATGTTTTCTCAGCTAAATTTTGTTTAATCCATCAAGGAAAATTGAAAAATTTGCAAAGTAACATTTTTAAAAAGAGAAGAATAATTCAATGAGTGAATCAATAAATCAATAAATCAATGAATCAATGAATCAATGAATCAATAAATCAATAAAATCAATGAATCAATAAATCAATAAATCAATAAATCAATAAATCAATGTTGTAAATGCAATTGTTTGCATAAAACAAACTAAATACAGGACCCATAAACTAAGAAAAAGAAAGGTGATTTTTTAATCTTGTCAATTTTGATTGTTTACAAATACAGGGAAAAAAAGAAATATATATTCTTATGATTACATTTATTAATAACATATTAAAAGGGGTTTTGTTTACAAAAAGATTTAGATGATTATTTACAAAGATGTTTAAAAAGTGTCCGCCCACATTTTCTGACCAAAGACAAAAAATAAAGCCTCGATCTTTTTGAAATTTTAATACTACCTAGGCCTAGTCATAGAGAGGGTTCCCTGATAATGAACTGTCAGTTCAGTCGAAAAATAAGGGCGCAGCGTTAAAAAACATCTTGCCTCCCCCCTCCATGTTATTTTATACTTAAACCCAATGACCAAGAGAGCACTGTGTTTTCGGCCTTGGTTTTTGTGATATCATTTTTAAAGCTATTGAGCTGATATTTGTAGCGTACCCGTGTGGTGAGAAAAAAATTCTAAATTTTTCTAAATTTTCTAATGTTTAAAGTAAGAAAATATGAGAACTGCAATCTGTACTACAGTGATAAACAGAAAACTCTGGAACAACAAGTCGACTTCTAGACTCAAATTATAACTTTAAATAGTCCAATGAACATGAGACACAGCAACTGTTCGGTGTAAACAGACCCATTTTACTTAATAAGTAATTTAATAGCTTTCAAGTGTAGCTATTTGCTTTAAACAACATTAAATGCACTCTAGAAATGCTATCATGTCGTCTTCCTATTCCACAGTTTTCTGTTTATGACTGTATGTGGCCAATAGATGCGTATTTATTGACTTTTTCGCGGATTTTTAAAAATTCAGTAACTTCCCATAATAAGCTTTCCATTTACAAAGCGAAAATATCATACAAAATGAAAAAGTTGTAAAAGTTTTAAAATTGACAAGATTAATAAAACGCTTTGTACAAGGTGTCTCTGAAAAAAATTGTATTTAGGCTTTTTCTGTTAAAAAGTGCTATTAGTGGGTACAATACCCACCAGTTTTGAAGGTTAAAACAGCATTTTAGAGAAAAATGTTTTATCCATGTTTTTCTCTAAAATGCTGTTTTAACCTTTAAAATATGGCATAATATTCGAAAATGTGCTCAGTCCCATTTCCGAAGATATGAATTGCCAATAAACGTCGTTCTTTTCTACTTCAATGTGTGACTAGCAGGTACAATCTTCATCAATTTGAAGGTCGTTGTTAAAACATTTTACTCTACTCCCTTTTCAAAAGATTTTCAAAAAGATTTTAAATATTTTTTCGTCTTTTAGTTTTAAAAATGCTCAATTCTATCATTGAAATTGAAAATGTGAAATTTATTCTATTCTATCAAATAAAACGTAAAAATAAAATTATAATTTTAATTAGTTGTACTCGAGCACAATTTCAAATATTAGTGCCGCGTTTAAAGGTTAAATGACATTTTAGAGAAAATATTTCATCAACGGCTAAAAGCTTGAAAACACTTTTTTCAGAGATAATATTGACTCATTCACTTAATAGGTTGATTTTGAATCTCCTGGTAAAACTATTTACTTTATTAGCACATAAAATACATCTAAGATGGTCTCAATGTCATTTTCATCAATTTTATGGGTTAACAAAATTATTGAAAAAAATAAACATAATTATTTTAAAAATAAACAAAATTATTGAAAAATAAACAAAATAATTTAAAAAATAAACAAAATTATTGAAAAATATACA